CGTCATCTCATGTCCACGGCACTTGCTTTAGGATGGATGCCTCCCTACCTGCCATTTATGCTAGGACCATCTTAGGCAAGAGGTGGGATATGGGTTCCATTTTTGATGCAACACTTATGTGAGGTCTTCTGTATCGTCATGGGATGTGTTCTGAGTCAAGAGCTACCACATGACCTCATCATGTGACCATCACAGAACATACTTAGAGAAAACTAGATGGTAGAGTCTGCTGCACAACTAGGCTCCAAACCTGAACCGTGTGTTACTCCACTGAATATTGCGCAACACTACTGTCGCTGCATTATCTGTGCATATCTAAGTATAGAAGAGGCACAGCAAGAACATTATGCAGTAGGAATCTTTCCTCTCCGTCATAATCCTATGAAACCATCACCACCAATGTGCAGCCTGTCATTGACCAAAACGCCCTTATGTGACACATGACTGTGTATACAGCTAAAGTCAGGGCAAGTTAAAGATACACATACTTGATATTTACAGGAAAAATGAATTCTGAAGGACTATAAAATAGAGCATGACATCCAACATCAGATCGGACTCATGCAAAAAGTTTCAAAATTCATTGACTCCTGAAGAAATGTACATATTCCCTTGGCCACCACTAATTTACTCTTGGACAGAAGACAGAATATTCATGAATTCAAGCTAATGTAAGTAACTGTTAAGAAAAGTAAATTGAGGTGAAAAGATAAATCTCTAATGCAGAAGAAGGCCAAATAATTATGTAACTATGCCCCCCTCAAGAGGATAGGTGTTTAATTCCCTTTCCCTTGAGTAAGTGCTGTGCTTTGTGATTTGGTTCCAAAGAGTAAAGTATACACAGAGTCTGGAGAAAATGAAGCTGGAGGAACTGAGCACAAGAGAGAAATCTGAAAACACCATGTTGACTAAGTGGTCAAAGTTAATACTGCAGGCTTGTGTTTAGAGCATCTACTCTTGATATGACATGCTCTCATTGAAAGGTGATATCACACTTAGCATTTTTATTTTGCTTTGTGTTTTGAGACAGGGTCTCACTATGCAGCCCTGGCTGGTCTGGACCTCACCGAGATCTTCCTGCTTCTGCCTCCTGAGTGCTGGCAATAAAGAGGGGCATTTGCCACTACATCATGCTATATGGAAACAGACTAAGTCAACTTAGCCAGTGTTCTCTATTGCTCTGAAAAGGCACCATGACCTCACCAACTCCTTTTTTTTTTTAAAGCATTTAATTGGGGCTGGATTACAGTTTCAGAGGCTCAAGTCCATTACCATCATGGCCGGAAGCAGGTCAGCATGCAAACAGACATCATGCTGGAGAAGAAGCTGAGAGTTTGATATCTGGATCTGCAGGTAACAGGACGGAAGACAGACAGCTACTGAGACCTTTAGAGCTTTTGAGAGCTCAAAGTCACTCCCAGCAATACACGTTTTCCAGCAAGGCTACACCTCCCAATCCTTTCAAATAGTGTTACTCCTTAAGTATTTAAGCATATGAGCCTACGAGGGCCATTCTTATTTAAACACCACAGAGAGATAGTCTAGTAGACCAGACCAATATTTCTCAAAACTATCAATTTAGAAAAAAAAATCCTAGAGAGACAGCTGAAAATATCAAGAGAGGATGAGTAGATAAGAAATCACACTAGAAAGCGTGACAGGAGAGATGCTAGAAGGCAACTACACAATCCCAACAGTGTGTGTTTAATGCTGTAGCACTGCTGGCTCCTTAATCGTGACAGATGTAACAAGGCGGGACATTTGAGAAACTCTCTACTTACCTTTGTAGCTTTTCTATAGATGGAAAATTGCCTTAAAGAGAAAGGTTATTCACATTAAAAGATTAACATTCTGCTATGCTGACGTAATAGAGTTCCTATGTATCAATCAATACATCTTTTTTTCCCTGCTCACACGCTTCTATTGCCAAGCCATATGGCATGAGTAACTTTCTTGAAACATAAGAATATTCCATCGTTAAAGCCAAATGCAGTCAGACCTATTTTTGGAGGCTTAGATTTCTCAGGAATAGTTGGGTCATGCCCTCAGTAATGTGTCACAAATGTTCAAAAGATAACGTCCAAGAACCCAAAGTTCTTAGTGGCTCGAAAAGATGTGACATCCTTCAGCTTCCTACCCAATATGTACACACTGCATGTGGCTGTTTTCGGGACCTGAGTGAGAAGGTGGCACATGAGTCTCTGCAAGTAACATTCTGTGCCAGGCAACCCACAGCAGCATTCTCTTGGTGATCAGCTGTTCTCAGGAGGCGAGGGGCAGTGAGACTGAGGGGCCACTATTCTACAGAGCAAATGGGACGCTTCCCTCAAATATCTACCTATCCATCAGAATTATAAGACATGATGTTCTTGGAAAACACAGCATTTTCTTTTATACTGTTTTCAGTTATTCTATTTGAGGGAGGGTAAAAACTACTGCAAGGTTCCTAGAAATGTTAGTAGGAATTTATTTTGTTAGCAATTTAACTCCATAATTTGAAAAGATGAGCTAATAATTTAATTAACTAAATAACATTTGGCTGGGGTTATTTATCTACTTTTAAAGGAAAGAGTACAAATGCCATTAAAGAGAGCTGGAAAAACACATGTGATTTCCTAAATATATAAGGTTTAAAATCAAGACTCCCTGGAAGTCACATGTTCTGCACCTGTAGGGATTTCCAGCACAAGGAGAAGGCATGCTCCGTGACAACAAGTGTTTGCTATGGAACTGCAGTGGAGGCAGGACCCTAACACTACCGAGGGGAGTGGAGTCTAAAATGAATGTGGGTAGATCATTCTAATATAGTCATAAGTAGTTCACAGACACGCTGTTTCACATCGTGGTAGAGCACTGTGTGTGTGTGTGTGTGTGGATGTGTGTGTGTAATAATGCGAACAGTCCCTTTGATCAGAATCAAAGATCATCGATCATTAGGTTACTGGGTATCTATCAGATATCGCTTACTACTCAACATAACTCTGCAAGGTATGGAAAATTAGTATTGAATAAGCAAGGGAGAGGAGGACACCAGAAGTGAGGGAACAGCTTAAGCCCTTCAGCTTAAAAAAGAGTCATTATTGACTCTCTGGATGCCTCCCAAGTCTCAACTCTTTCCTGCATAGGTTTCAGCTTTGTTTTAATGCATTTACATATTTAAAAGTTTGTTTTTATAAATTATTTATAAATTAATTACAACATTTCTCCCTTTCCTTTCATCCCTTCAAGGTCTTGCATATAGCTTTTCCAACTCTCCATCGAATTCACAGCCTTAAAAATACCTAATTGCTATTGCACGCATGTATGTATGTATGTGTGCAAACATGCATATAAATGCATATATGTATGCATATATGTATACACATATACACACTTATGTATACGTATGTGTATATACACACATACATGTATTCCTAAATATAACCTATTTAGTTCATATAACACTGCTTGTACGTGTTTTCAGGGCTGACTGTCTGCACTGGACAAGTAATCGTGCCCTTTCCTGGGGAAGACCACCTCTCCTGCGCCCGGCCTTCCTCAGCTGCCTACAGCCCATGGTCTTTTCTCTCTCCAGTACGGCACGCTCACCAGTGCTATCTCTGCTCGCTCACATTTGGGCAGACTGCTATTCCAGTACATGTTTAGTGCTAACGAGCTGCTCTAAGTCATCTAAAGTTTTAGTCTCAGTGTTCTAGTAAGAGTCGGCTGGTTGATTTATAATCTTGTTCCAATTTTAAAATAGTTATATTATTTATATACATTATAACAAATGGCCAATTCATAATGCATTTGTCAAAATATGGTTATCAACACTAGTCTTTACTAAATTTTCTGATGATGAAGATTTGTACAGATAGTTATCCATTTCTTCCAAATCCTTTCAGTTCAATTTATTAGCCAGGGCTTGCTTACCACTTTCAATGTTCCTATAACTTACACTTAACAGATGATGCAGTATTCTCTACACAAACAATATATTTAATCTTTGCCTTCTACAGAATATACAGCTTCCATTTAGACATTAAAAATGCAATGAATGCCATTTTGTGGGTCTGAAAACAATCAAACATTTATTTTAATTCACATTTTTAAAATACAACAATTTTAGACAAACAGTACTTATAAGCACATTTATAACAAAGAGGACATAAATAGAAATGAAATGTATAATTACATAAATTTTCACATATTTTCAACAAAAGAACCACCTCTTTACATTCAGTTTTGAAAACACATTAACATGTATAGTTGAAAAAGATGTAGCTTTACAAAAAGTGCTACAAAAGGTTCACATTTGTGTCAATAATAAGGCATATTTCCTATGTAAATGGTTTATGAAAACTATGAAAAGACCTAATTTAACCATTAGTCTCACATGGTAATGTTAAGTGCAAATGATGTACATTTTTATCAGTACAAATGTTCCTTTAACTTTAAATAACACAGTACCTTTTATTTACCAAGTCCATATCACATTTATTAAATGAACATGCACAGCACATTAAAATTAAAATAATTCTTGTACTTTTCTACACAGTGTTTAGTTTTTCTGATATTCTTTTTGTAAGAAAAAACATACTTAACACTTTGGCAAGGAATTAATAAATCATAACTAATCAAAAGGAATGACAACTTTTTCATGGCATAGAAACTCTCCTATTACTATTTACTAAATTTTGTCGTAGTTCATTGGCCAATGGCAGTCCTGCCTAGTTTTATTTAAAATAAATAATGGATATTCAAGAAGTACAAGTCATATTTGGGTGTCTGCCCACACTCTAATTGGAAAGTAGTTATATTGAGTGTGTTTAGCAGTTAAACACTGCCATCTGTACCGAGGCCAACAAGTCTTATCAGCAATGGTATGGATCATCATGAGATGTTTGCCTTAGGAGGCAGAGGAGGCAGAAAGGAAATGCAGATCTCATAAACTGGGAACATATGTGGTAAGGAAGTCAAACCAACTGAGGCATAAGTGGGGAAGGCTTTTTGAAAACTGGTCCAAGAATACCCAGAGGGGATGAGAGGGGAACCAGGAGGGAACGCAGTAACATCCTTTAGGAGGGTGGAGAGGGTCACAGGGGTCTAAGCACACCACAGCATCCCCCCCCCCCCTTCACGGCATTCCTGAATCAGCAGAGTTGCTGATATTTACGAAAAGTTTCAGGTTTCCATATGGGTTTGTCTAAACGGACACTGAAAAGATTACGTTAACTGGAAGCTGCCTTTTGACCTCATTCCCAAACACCGTGGGATGTGTTAAGGGAGTAACAGGACAACCTCTGCTGAACCCCAGAAGCACTCGCTCTTGGCTCAGATCACGGAGTCTCGGTAACCAGGGGAAAGCCTTCTTTCTCTTCCTGTGTTGTCTTCAGAGAGAGCAAAAACACCCTGCACCTCCCACATAATCTCAACAGCGTCACTTTTCCCTCTACCAGATGGGGAGACACGGGTGGTCTAACTTCTTACTTTTTTCCAAAGTGAGTTCCCTTTATTAAATTGTTGATTATAATTTTTATATAAATTTACTTTATTCTGAAGAATAAAACTATGAATATGATGTCATCTTACTTATTTATGACCTCTGCTTGCCTCAAGGCATTAAGGTTGAAAAGACAAGGAACAGGTTCAATAAAATAGGCAAACTAGTTTTTGTTAAAGCTGTTAAAGTGTGCATGACCACAAAGACTACGAGTCACAGAGTACTGAATTCTCAAGAGTGAAATCATACCAGAATCGGGACAAGTTGTCGCTAACATCATACGAGAGCAGGTGGTCAGGAAGGTCGCTGATGGTGCCCTGCACTGCCAGCACATGTGGGGCCAAGGTGAAGGGCACGTCACTCAGGAGTTCAGCTGTCTGGGAGGTGTTCTCCAGAGTCCGGCCTGCCTGATTTTCTGTCTCGGGGCCTGCTACAGCCACACTGGATGTGTCTGCTTTGCCAGTCTAAAAATACATATACATTTAAAACATTTAGAACATATGAACTGTGAGGTTTGGTAATGGTAAATGTGGTATCAGTACATCAAAAAGCCTGGGCAATGTATAATACATAAATACTGCCAGATTTGAACACAAGCATTTACCTATTTGAGAGAGAAATCCATCCAAATCTCTACAAGATTTAAAAGTTCTACGGTCTGTTCTTACTCAGAATGGCCACCCATAGCTCCCTTAAACAAGAACTCCATGTGATTTCCCACCCCGAGGGTCTCTGGGCTCGTCTCTGCCCCCAGAGGAGGCTTGGCTCCATGCTCGTCTGCCCTGGAGGATGTTTTGTCAGAGCTGTTCACTTTGGAACACCCACAAGGAAAACTGCGAAGATACTCTTAGGTGCTAACAGTCTGAGTTCTTTCTAGTAGCTACTCTGTGTGCACTCTACCTTTAAGCAGATGCTAGCATCCTCAAGCCAAGTGCTCTATGCCTCTGCGGCCCATGCCCGGCACAGTGTCCTGCTCTGTTGTGACGCACTTGAGGTTTACCTTTAGTGGGCACCATGAGTATGGTTGGAACCAAGTGTTATTTTACCAACTTCCAAATAAATATCGAGTACCTTGTTAGATTTCTTTTAAATTGACCTATCTTGTACACACTAGTTTATGAAAAGGCATGCAATAATTAGGATATTCAGGCATCCATCATACAGCCAAACCCCAGAACTATAAATACCCATTAATAGTTGAGTAGACAGGAAATAGTGTCTGTATATAGCAATGAAGCTGAATGACCTGCTACTACAAGTAGCTAAAATGTAATACAAATAATTCAGAGAACAAAATCTCTTTCTTACCCTCCAACCTCATGCAGAATAATTCTCCTTAGTTATAGACCTAGCAGACCCCACAGGCCCTGGCCCGGTATCACCTGCTGGCCTGCTCTGGCCAGCTCACCTCCAGCACTACTACAGCCTGGCTCTTACTCACTCCCGCACTGTTTCTGCTGAGCTCACTGCTTCTGTCCCCTGTCCTCTGAGATCTGCATTGAGCTTGCCTGTCTTCCCTCTGGGTTTTGGCCCATCTGCCACCTTCCAAAAGAGGCCTTTCCTCGCCTCTTCCTTAAGCTTACTCCCTCTCCCCTGTACTTTGTACCCCCATCTCCCACTTGTGCTTCTGCCTCTGGCCCTTACTGCTTGTCATACACTTTGTGACCCATCCCAGCCATCAGAAGCAGGGTCTGTGTCATGCTCACTGCTCAAGCCCAATACCTTCATCTGTACCTCAAGCGCAACAACGTTGACTGCACAAACGGAAGCAGAGCCTACGCTTCGATTCTAATGGTGACAAATGCTGACAGAGTCCCTGTCTAAGGAGAGCAACTTTACAGAAGAGAAATAGCATTTTGATCAGACCCTTTATTGACGTATACAGCATACACAGGAAAGGACACACACACACATCGTCACTGTAGAAACTGTTGAATTCTCACAAACTGAATGCACATGAGTAGCGAGCACAGTCATCAGTAGCCATAATCTACTCTCCTTCAGACACCAGTCTGACTTCTCATGGTACAGAATGGCCTCTGTGTTCGTATTTTCATTGAACGTCACCACTTAGGATGAACACTTCTGCTTTTGACTTCTTTCAATCAATATTATGTGTATTATGCATCTATATTGTTACATATTAGATGAAACATTTTGAGGAATGTATTGGTGCAGAGGGTATATACTAATTGATATCTTACAAGTCTTCTGGTTGTTATTTGACAGTGGACATTGGGTAGGGGAAGGGTAGCCAGTAAAGGAAGCAAGAAGACAGCTGGGAACAGAGAGGCTGTCATGTTGACCAAGGTTATAATAGCAGAGGAGAGATGCAATGATTGAATACTCGATAGAGTTTGTGTATAACTTCAACAGGATTTGCTGATGAAATGCAGGTGGGGTAGGGACAAGAGTATAGTCAAGAATAAATCCGAAGTTACGAGAGTGTGGTCGAGAATAAATCCAAAGTTACAAGAGTGTAGTCAAGAATAAATCCGAAGTTCTTGGCCTGGCAATCAGAAGGATGGAGCCAACCAGTTACTGGGACAGAGAAGGGTGCTATGAGCAGGTGTGGGCATCAAGCAGCACTTTCAGTGGAAGGTAATGATCTCAGTCTGCAGCCACGACACATGCTGAACAAAGCAGGGGACATGGCATTTTCCCTAGGTGCTATACTGCAAATAGGCAGGGATGAGTTGGCTTTTAGAAAGGTGTATGTTTTTTGGAAAAACATGAGAAGCTTCTTTTTATGTTTGTTTTCATTATAAGTTTGGAGAAATAGTTTATAATGAGAAGAAAAAGGCTGTTAAGAAAAACAATTCATGGAAAGTCAATAGAAAAGGAAGTGTTCTCTTCCTAAGATGTCCACAACAGACTAGACAAAGACCCGTAAGAAACACTAGCCTAGGAAATGACTTGGAGTCAACAAAGCTTCCAAACTATGCCTATTAATAATGGTCTTATATTTCATGAGAATTATTTCATATAATATCATATAATAATTTCAGCACAGTACTGCTCTGCTTACCCACAAACATAAGCTTATTTAATCCATGTAACAATTTTATAAAATGGTACACAATACCAAAGAACCCTCTTAGGTCTGCAATGAAAACCAACATACTATCCCCTGTTACGAGAAAGCTTATTACGAAGATACAAGTATGTGGGACACAGATCCTGACTCAGTTCTAACTGGTCTTCTCAATGCTAAGTATCCTAGGGTCAGTCAAATCCATAGAGAGCAGTGAAGAATGACAGACATTCCAGATAAATAAGGGGCTTCACTATGTGCACTTGTGTGGCAGAATTGAAATGAAGTAACATTTGTGTGTGCCATAAAACTGTCAAGATTACATATGTGTCAGCGCGTAGGTTACCTGAAATAAAGATGGTAGAGTAGTCACGAGCACAAGTTCTAGGAAAGACTATTAGGGCAGAAAGCCCAGAACAGTAAGCTATTGGTCTTGTGCTACCTGACTTCTCCATTCTTTAAGCGGGGTTGTCAGGCCAAAAACAGGCACTTTCCTTTTCTGCCTTCTTCCTTGTTTCTCAATCTTAGTAGCAAATCATTCCTAGATTAGCTCATTTTATATTCCAACCTCCTTCCCTCTCTTCCTCCCTCCCTCCTTCCTTCCCTTTTGTTTCTCTCTACATAGACTAGGCAGTCCTCAAACTCAGAGAGATGACCTGCCTCTGCCTGGAAGTGCTGGGATTAAAGGCCTTTGTTACCACACCTGACGAAGTTCTTTTTTTGTTTGTGTATAGAACACTATTGTTTTGTTAATTAAATTGTCCCTTCTCAAGAGCATTCTTGAACTCTCACCTCTCCAGTAAGGAGAAGGTGTGCCACCCTTAATATTCTCCTTTCCAAACACAGAACTCAGGCTTAGCTCTTCAGCATCAGTATTTATTCCCTTTTGTGCTTTTACCAATCCTCTTTTAATTCCTTTAAAAATCATTCTTATCTGGAAAATACAATTTCCTAGAGAACAAGAGTATACAAAATGCATCTGGTACTTTAAAGAACTTGGTATATGTGACACCTTGCTAAAGTTGTCCTGACAAAGCAGCCATGTAGGCCTCAACCCTCCCATCTACACAGTGAGTGATGGATAATGGCAGTGATGGCACAGACAGCACCTCTCGTGTGCTGAACACACACTTGGACAGGCTACACCCGAGCCCATGTCTTGTGATGCCCTGAAGGGATGCGCTGTGAAAGGTAGAAGAACAATAAGACAGGATGTTTAAGGAGGATGCCTCAGTACACCCTGTCGTTGGGGAAATGGAGAATCAAGCCCATGGTCTCTCAGTAGTCTGCCCTATAAACCTGGACATTTCAGATGTGCTCCGCAAAGACACCAGACCAGCCGAGCGGTGACAGTTATGAGACAATAGCAGAAGGACGATAATCACTAAACAGCACACCTTGGCTTCACTTAGAAGAAAATAAAAGATTCTAATGTCTTTTACTGTTAGGAAGGATGGAGAAAACATTCTGCAGACAGACTGAGAAGAGATGGAAAAGTCTCTGTAATTTAGGGTAAATTTACCCCATGGGAACAAGTCTACCAGCAGTCTGGATAAGCCATGGGAAAAGCCATGAACAGGGAAAGAGTCCGAGCCGAGAAGGCTGAGGCAGACAGGAAGGCATGTGGGAACGCTGTCCTACAGTATTCCTTCTGTCGAAATCAAAGTTCTGAAAGTTTTATTTAGTTTAAAACGCCTCCTCTACGATCTAAATTTCAGCTATGCTGGATGGATGGCTCCAGCTTCCATCTCTTAACAGTTGGCTTAGAGCAATGCTACAGTCTCCAAGGAGGCTGCCTGCCCTCTTGGCAGCAGGGTGAGTGCCATGATGCAGCTGCTACTGGCATGCTGAGAGCTGGAAGGAGAGAAATTATAAGGCAAAACAAGAATAAGTCGCAAAGAAAATGTGAGTCAAAATTCAAGGGCCCCATACCAGCTAACCCAGACTACTAAGCCGCTAGCTTGGCAGCGTGTGGAGGTGGAGGTGGGGCTGAGGGCTGGAACAGGTGCACCAGTTCTCGGCAGAAAGCAACCCCACTCAGACACGAGCCTTGTGATTTTATTTTTTACATTTGCATAATGAAATGGATCTTTACTGGGAAGAATTAGTGTGTTAACTACAATGGGGCAGCAGAAAAGAATCAATTAGCCTTTTGGTTAATAGCCAAATTGCAGAAAACGATTTCAAACATGACGCTCATACAGCAGACTCGCTCTTTGTGATTATCCCTGCTCAGAGATGGCACTGGGTCACGGCTTCAGGCTCTAGGTTCCTTTGTCCAGCTTTGATACTTTTCCAAAGCAGTATTTTCCCTCATATTGTTAAAGATCAGTATACGATGCCAGGCTTTGTTTTTAATCTCACAGAGAAAATTAATGTCCTTATCTCTATTACCAATAACCACATTTACAACAAGCTGTTTTCTCTTAT